AAAAAAAAAAAAAAACTTTTTAAATGTACCCTTGCACTAACAAAAAGGTAAAAAATCTTCAAATGACAAAATTTAAGTTAAAGGTTAACTCAAAGGGATAAACAGAACAGTCAAGCACGAGGATTTGATTTCTCAGAGCAGTTTGCAGCAAAAAGGTTCTGTCGCCTCCCTCTTAGCTTACTACAAAACCTTTCCGTATCCAGTCCAAGGAACTTCTTCCAGTCATCTTATCTAGACACTCAAGAGAAACACATCAGATACTCAACAGGATTTTTCAAAAAGGCCAGAATTACATACTGAGGAGAACAAGCGACACGAGATTAGACAAATTGTTAAATATGATCTGAAAATATATGAAAGACTGAGGACATAAACATAGACAACTTCTGCAAATCAGTAAAAAAGGCAAACGACCCTAACGGGAAAGATAAAAACACAAACACGCAGTGCACGCTACAAGAAATCTGAAGAAAAAACACAGAAAGATCTTTCTGGTAATAACCGGGTAAATGCATGTAAAAACAATGAAATACTGTTTCTCAGCCATTGATTAGTCTGGCGAAAGTTTAAATTTGACAATTACAGATACTATGTACTAGAAAAGGAACATGTTGCTGGAACAATACAAATTATTATAACCCCTTTGCAAATATCTGTAAAAGAAGACAGGCACAAACTCTATAAAATGCAATTCTACTTGCGGATATGTACCACAGAGAAAGGGGGACACACGTGCATGAGAAAAGTCATATAAGGCCCTGCTTATACACTGTTTATAATAGTGAAAAACAGTAAACAATGTAAGTGTCCAAAGTAAAGGAATAGATGTTTAACGTGTGGCGTAGCTGAATGATGAAAGACTGTATAACAAAAAGAATAAAACAGAAATAAAATATTCCAACATGAATCAATCTCCAAACCATGTTCAGGCCTTCTAGTCAAAATGGCTTACTAAGCTTCCACCTCACAACAATCCCTCCACTCGAGAAACAGAAAAGATATAAATATAAAACATACCTGAGATCAAAACAAGATAAAGATCTACATGGATAAGAAACGGAACAGAAATGCAAAGTAGTCATCAGGACTGAGGCCACAGGCCTACTGGGTTCCACATGTTAGCTTAAAGTGATAATTCTGAGTTTAATTTGTGTAAGATAGAAACCACTAAAAGTGCTCCAGCTAAGACAAAAGAATGGGACCAGTCTTAGGACACGAAGCTAAGGACTTGAGACAGCGAGAGCTCCTGCTTGTGAAAGATGGCTAAAGAATTGGCATAGGGTTCAGAATGGGTCCACAGACAGGTGCCCCAGGCCCACTGCTTATAAGAGCATGTGGGCCTGAGGGGAGAAGAGGGCACAGCACAGATGCAGCCTCAAGCACTGGTTTCCAGACTTCTCTGTGACCCCGACTCATGGTGAGAGAGAGAAAAATCAAAATAAAGAGTTTTAGGAGAAAAAATAGTATCTTTCTCACATATAATACATCTGTTATTAAGTGCTGATTGCAATAAATTCATCACCCACATTTTTAAAACCACTAGCTTAGAATACAAAAGAAATAATATTCTAATATCGAGAAAAGATACAAAATCAACATATTTCACATTGAACAATTAAAGACCATCATTTTAGATTTCTTCCCATTACCTTCACTCTATCTTCACTGCCACTACAAGAATTAACATTTGAGGCCGGCTCACGCCTATAATCCCAGCACTCTGAGAGGCCGAGGCAAGTGGATTGTATGAGCTCACAGGTTTGACCAGCCTGAGCCAGAGCGAGAATCTGTCTCTAAAAATAGCCAGGCACTGTGGCAAAGCCTGTAGTCCCAGCTACTCAGGAGGCTGAGGCAAGAGAATAGCTTGAGTCCAAGAGTTTGAAGTTGCTGTGAGGTGTGACGCCAGGACACTCTACCAAGGGGGACAAGGTGAGACTCTGTCTCAAAAAAAACTAACATTTGGTTTTAAGACCAGACTTACTTTTTTTCTCAAAAATAAAACAAATGTTGCCATTTGTTATTTAAGAATATGATGATGTGTGGCCAGGTGCAATGGCTCACACCTGTAATCCTAGCACTCTGGGAGGCTGAGGCAGGTGGACTACCTGAGCTCATGAGTTCAACCAACCTGAGCAAGAGCAAGACACTGTCTCTACTAAAGACAACACCATAAAAAATAAAAAGGTGAGGTGATGGATCTGTTAATCAGTTTGGTTTAAGCATCCAATTTAAGCATTTGATTGTATATCAAATCATTACATTGTTCCCCATAAGTGTATGTAATTATGATTTTAATTAAAAATTAAATTCAAAAATAAATTCAAAAAAACAGAAAAACGAGCTGGTGTTGTGGCGGGCACCTGTAGTCCTAGCTACTCAGGAGGCTGAGTAAGAGGACTGCTCAATCCCAAGAGTTTGAGGTTGCTGCGAGTTATGACACCACGGCACTCTACTCAGGGCAACAGAGTGAAACTGTTTCAAAAAAGAAAAAAAAGAATATGATGATGTGCAAAGAACACACCCAAAATGACATGCAGACGGTGAAAATTAGCTAATCTCACTCACTAGTCTAGATGGATTTACTTCTGGATATAACAATCTGAATTCTTACCTAAGCAAAATCATAAATTATCACAGATCACCAAAATTTAGGACAAAATTCAAAGATTTATAGAACAGCAAGGTAACTGGAATTCATGGGAGAAATGAGAGTAAATCTACAATTTTAAATATTCAAAAAGTCAAAAAGACCTACAATGTGCAGAATTCTATACTACCTAAGGAAGATACAAATAAAAATAAAATAGAGTCTCAAAAGCTTATAATCATCTCATAAGGGAAATAAGATAAGACCACCTATCCTATGAGTAAGTCCACGGAAAACTACAAGTACCATGCAGCAAAGGAACAAATGAAGTGCTATGCAAACATAAAGGAAGGAGAGATTTATTCAGCCCAGGGAAATAGGAAGAGTCCTGCAGGATACATGAAATACGGCTTTAAAAGGATAAGCAGGACGCAGGCACACAGAGATAAAGGCAAGTGCAAGCCTGCTTTCTTACAGATTCCTCACAAGCTGTTTTCTTTCAGTGAATCAAAGTATTTGATAAGGAAAACTCCTTTCTAAGCTAATCTTTAGAATATGTTACTAGACCAAGTTTCTTCTGCCCTTGGCCCTATATAGGCAACACAAGAGAAATCCAGCAACAAAAGACATGTGAGCGTGCTGTGTTTCAGATGGATCATAAACGGTTTTCTTTCAGTGAATGGAAGAGTTTGAAAGGAAACCAACTTTGCAGGCAGACACTGAGAATATGCTATGAGAACATGCATCTTTTTGTTCTGTGTGGAGGGAACGGTTTACTTCAGGGTTTTCTCTGTACTTAGGTAGGCTTAGAGGTACACGTGCAGCTTTGTTAAGTGGATATATTATGTAGTAGTGAAGTCTGGACTTTTGGTGTATCCATCACCTGGAGAGAGCACTGTACCCGATAGGTAATTTTTCATCCTTCATCCCCTTTCCACCCTCCTACATTTTATAGAGTCACCAACGTCTAGTTTTCCATGATATACCCAGCTCAGCTCCCACTTATAAGTAGAATACACATAACTGCTGTTACTTTATAAAGGTACATTAAATAATCCAATAGATAAAGGTTTTATGGGTCCAATTGTACAGTTCATTGTTTCAGGTGACTGTCTTTCATGTGCTAACCTTGTATTTTCAAGTATTTGTGATTTGAGGTTGTGAGTCTATACTCCATAGAAGTTGGTTTTTGGTAAAACTATAAGACCCAGATTTGACAGTGTGATCATCCAGAAAAGACCAGTGGTTATTTTTACCGAGCACTTCAAGGCACTACCAACTCAAGAATGTTTTAAAGTAAATTCCCACCTTAAACAGTTTCAGACCACCCAGGTGGCACGAATTCAAGCCGGAAAACCCTATAGATCCAAGCTATGAACCACCATAGTGCTACTTTGTGGTTAAATTTCCCTAGAGAGGTTTTCCTCCCTCGGCCATACAAGATGTTTGACAAGACAAGCAATGTTTCTTGCCGTCAACTGGGTTTTATCCAAGTTCATTCTTTAATTGAGGATAGATCCCAGTGGGGTCCCACGTTAACAAGGGTTTATCAATCAGACATTCCCAACTCATGCAGGCTCTTGCCTTTATCGCCTACCCTCAAGCATCCATTAAAATTGAAATTCTAGATTACCAGACTTGCGTGATACCCCAGGAAAGCCACCAGCTTCAACAATCAGTTCCTTACTTCTCGGGATTTATGCTTTTGCTTCATTTTTTGGCATTTAAAGATTTCCCATTGTTTTCTTACCAGCAAAGTGTCCAACAATAAAATATAAAGTGAAAACTCTTATATTTTATTCAGAATTTTTAGGTATCTTGAAATGGAAGCACTTTTATGATATTTAAGTCAGTACATACAATAAAACAAAAGTTGAGTGGGTTCACTTTTAATTCAATGATATTAACCTAAATTCAATATTCACTCAACTATATATGGCCTAAATTCATAAACCTAGTATACCTCTAAACTGAGTTCCTATTGGAAACTTGCTGTAAAGAACTTATATCACATTTCAAAGTTGTTCTCACTGGTTTTATTAAACACCACAAAAGATAAAATAATATTTTACAAGTAAAACTGCATTAACGTAAGTCTTACCAGTTCAGTAAAGGCAAATTGAAAGTTAAAGCATTTCTAATACTCTCTCACCCGCTCCAGTGCTTGAGTTTTCTCTTGCTCTATTTTCTTCATTGTTTCCTTCTCAGCTTTGAGTGATGATGATGACACGGTTTTAACAGACATAAAATCAACAGTCATCCATTCATCCCTCTGTTAACGAAAGGAAGCTATTTCAATCTGAACTGATTAGAACTTAATAATATCTTGCATTAATGTATAGAGCTATCATTTAATAATAAAAAAAAAGAACTTAATAATATAAATAATAATAAAGGAAGTCATTTCAATTTGAACTGATTAGAACTTAATATAAATAATAAATAAAGGAAGACATTTCAATCTGAACTGATTAGGAACTTAAAACTGAAATAAATAATAATAAAGGAAGCCATTTCAATCTGAACTGATTAGAACTTAATAATAAAATAAATAATAATAAAGGAAGCCATTTCCATATGAACTGATTAGAACTAGTAAGAGCAGGGATCTGGGAGGCAACTGAACCTGAATCAAATGCTACACGGCTAGATGACTTCAAGCAAATTTCTTAATATCTTCATGCCTTAGTCTCTTCCCTAATAAAATGAGATAAAAACCCTACCTTTCAGGATTCTCTTAAGGAATAAACAAAATACCAAACGTAAGGTATCCAGCCCAGTGCTTGGCACACAACAAACATCAGTTCCTTTCCCCTGTCGTCCTTCATCTATGGCTGAAAGTGGGTAAATTACATTCTTCCTTAGGCAGACGAACTAGAACCCAAAATTTCTGAATGTTTTCAACTGGAAGTATTGCTAAGAAAATTAAGGTATGAAGTGAAGGAAAAGAAAAATCGTGACTCAACTCTACTCGCTGTAGAAAGGTCAAATGTAGGCAAGAGTAAAAGGCTTCCACATATAAGGGGGAAGTGAGACTTCTCCATCAACAATTAGATGCGGGAAAACCTCGAAGGGACTAGCACAGAGATGAGCACTCCCTGCCCCACAGCAGGAGAAGGGCAGTCTAAACACGCAGCAGATGGCATTACTGCCAAAATTATTCATAGAATACACTCTTTTCAGACTCTAATTTTTCTCCTGAAGAAATTAAAATCATCTTTCATTTCAACATTCGTCTATTCTTAGAAGTTGACACTTCTTCCTTCAAAATCTGGTGGCTCGCTTACCTGAATAACTTGATCGTCATCTTTTTGTTCTGACTTTTCACCTTTCACCTTCCAGGCCTTTTCCTTGCCAAGAGTCTGAGATGGAACAGCCTCAATCCACTCATCTTCAGAGCTCTGAAAACGTTTAACATATAAGTGAAATTCTCAAATTCGCATACTTTCGTATAAAATTCCTGTGCTGTTATTGAGTAGTACAAATTCAGCTTCCTAGAAAAAATTCTTACACTGTATTTTCCCTTTAAAAAATGACACTGAAAATTTGAGGGAAAAAACATGTAATCCACAACCAAATTACTTTTATTTTCTTATCAGTTTATTATTAAGTCGAAGTAAGAAAATAAAAATAAAAATTAGAACTGTCTGTTGAGAACTCACTTCAGCACAGAGCTGAATTCAGTGCCTACCAACATCACGCCCTGGCATCACTGGAACAGGGGAAACAACATCCAAGTAAATGAGTTTGCTGTTTGCCCCTAAGTTTCAATTTTGAGATTTCCCTGGATCTAAAACCGCAGAGTGCTTAGGTAACAGCTAGACTAGTAAGGCATTTTGCTTACTGTGTTTAAATACCAGATCATTAAATAAATTAAGAAGTATCCAATCCACATCTACTACAGGGCGATCATCACGCCAGGTTTGGGGTTTAGTTTTCCCCAGATGTATCCATCTACTCTTCTGTGTCAAGTAGTGTCCTAAGTACTGTCAGAGACGTCCTCACACTGATGTTTTAGAACATTCCATGAAATACGAGTTCGGTTTTACAGATAAAGAAGGAAATCTCCCCCCAAATCTTGTAAGTACTTTGCCCAGGCTCCATGGTATCCAACTGTGAGAACCAGGATAGGAACCTAGATTTGTCCAGCTCTAAAATATATAAGAGCTATAAAACTTACGTGTTGGAAAGATTCTAGAAATCACCTAGTGCAAACCACCTGTCAAAGTACAGCTGAGAGACCATGAAGCCAAGAGAGGAAAAGCGAGTGAACAGCCAAGCAAACAGAATCTGGGTTTCTCTACGAGAAGACTCGTATTCTTTCATTCTACAAAGTTCTTAAGAATTACCTAAGTGCTTCTTTGACGAGAGAACACAAATGTATCTGTCAAAAAGTATAATCTACATGGAGTAAACACATTTGTATTTTGCCACCAAAATTGCCAACTGTTTCCCAAAGCAAAGCAGATTTTATTCATTCACATAAGCCTTGATGCTAAGAAAACTTAGAACTAGTTATTTATATTTATAGTTACATTTTGTAAGATTATCACTATGAATGTATTTCTGGCCTAATCATGTTTATCTCAACAAATTAACTTAGAGAGATCTTCCTAATTCTTACCAGATGTTGACCAACCATGTGGTCAACCAGAGCTACAACCCAATCTCCAACTCTGGCTAAATCCCCTCATCATGATCTACAACTTCAATTTAGCTTAGCTAGACTCAATCCCAGGTAAAATTCTCCTGAACTGGTTCTTGGTCAGTTCTCTCTTGTATTCCCCTCTCTCCTCTGAAGCATTTATCAGTTTCACATTTATTTGTGGGACTATGTGACTGTCTCACACTGCTAGGCAGTAATTGCTACGAGGACAGCAACTGCTTCCTCTGCCTACCTTAATACATTGGCAGGTAACGTTACCTTCTTCCGTACCTTCCTCAAGTGTATATATACCAAGTCCCATTCCCCACACTTTCAGCAAGTGATGTCTCCTCTTACCTCATCAAGAAAAATGAAACTACTTTAGCTTCCAACCCGCCCTCCAACAAAATTCACACACAGCTGTGCCTACCCCTACCCCCATTAACTCTTCCTGTTCAAGGCCAGTCTCCCTCCACAGGTTTTCATCCCAACCATTCCTGTTCTTCCAAGACCTTGTTCCATAAATTACCTTCTTCTCTTATAGCTTCAAGAAAAGATCCCTAATGGCCTAGGAACATGCTCAAGTATTTCCCATCCTTCCATCCTTTGGGGGGCAGTGTGAGAGAAGGAGGACCTTCCTTGATTTTGTGTATCCCTCTGGCAGGAATTTACCTTCCACCTGCCATTCTCAGACACACTTGAAGAGTACCCACATCCACTGTGTTCATACCCTCACTTTCATATATTTTTCTCAAAACTCTACAATATAGCTACTGCCCCATTAATCTACTGACACATCTTCAAGTTTCCCCCAATGGCTTCTACTGCGTCAAATTCAACAAAACGTTTCAGTCTTTAACTCCGTAGACTTCTCTGTTCAATACAACTCCGTCCGTGACTCCCTTTCTTTGACCTCCATGGCACTCTCCGGTTCTCCTCCCACTTCCGTCATGCACTCTTCCTCCTCTGCTCAGGCCTTGAAGAGCCATGTTATTTGGGGTTCCATTTCTTGCCCATTACATTTTCTAATAGCTAAACATCCCCGTTAAATACACTCTCATAGCTTGAACTACTACCAATTGTGCTGATATCTCTCAAATTTGTCTAACAGAAAGTTTCAGTGACTTGTCTACTAATATATTTGGATGCCATAATAAACTCAACAAGAACAAAAAATAAAACCATCACCTTCTTCCACAATATCTGCCCCTCCTTCAGTATTACTGAACCAAGTTACCCGGCACAACCAACCACCCATTTAGGCAAGTCAGAAACTCAGGATCATCTTCTTCACCCACCAAATCTGTTATTTTCATCATACAGTGAATATACCATATGATTACCATGGGAGCCTACATTTACCCTGAATAGAGCTGATTAGTTCAAAGGTAGGTACCTGACCCAATCATAGCAATCTGAGTCATTCCTCAAGAATTTGAAATTAAATCTTCTAATCTGTAGTTAGATGCATTATGCATTGTGCCACTGGCCCACACTGAAATTAAATCTTAATGGGAGGATATAAAACTAAAGAGAACTGGAAAGGCACTGGCAGAGACCATTTCTGTCATGAGGAACAGAGTTCAGCAAAAATTGATCTGTTTCTAGAAAAAATGCATAACACAGAGGGGGAAAATTAAAAACAACAAGAAGATTCCAAAAATCATTCACAATTCTAATTCCAACTATTTCTGAAGCCAAGCTGCATTCCTACACCTAGATGATGTCTTATGAGACTTTTGTACCCTTAATAATAAATTTCCACTTTTTTTTTTT